AACACTGAAAAACAATTTCTATATTATTAATGATTATATGAAAATTTGAAATCAAATCAAATAAATTAATGTAATACAATATTACTTAGTCCTAATGGGCGCTTAAATTTATTTCATTTTTTTTCAGCGAAAGTTCAACGGGCTTGGAAATCTCTTAGAGATGCATTTGCGCGGTACTGCAATGAAGTCAGAACTTCCACCGGTATGGCCGCTAAATGCAAGAAACCGTATCGTTATTATGACACACTACTTTTTTTATACGAAACAATGGAGCACAGACGGTATTTAAAATTATTTATTAATTATCTCTAATCATTCATTTAAATTATTTTAATTCCAACAATCTTTACAGTTCGAACGGAAAAAATCAACTGGTAAAACCAGAATTGGATTCGGATGAATTGCTTTCACAATCATCATTAGTAAAATCATTGTCAACTCCAGCTGCTAAGTCTGTATTAACGGTGCCAATCGATTCACCACAGCCTGCGACATTTTCGATGCCATCATCTCCACTACCGTCATCAGAGGATTTTTCAGAGGTGGTACAACAAAATTCATCTAAAAAGAAACGCCGACTGAAATCAAATAATTTTGAAAATGCCATAATGCTTTTAAATAATTTGGTTGGACAATCGGATGGAGACAGCATATCCAAATTTTTTGACACTGCAGCTGAAATGGTTCGTACGTGCACCCTTAGCACTAGCGAACTGTTTGATTTTCAAGTCCAAAGTTTATCTGCCATGAAAGAAATATTGCAGAAGATGGGGAAGCTATAATAGATGTATGTTAATATATGAGTAATATTAATAAAATTTTTGTTTATAATTTAATTACTATCACATCACTATATACCCACATATGTAATATTTGTTTTATCTATTTTTTTTTAATGTTGACTTTATTGTGTTATTTAATTTTGCTTCATTAATTATAATTTAATATATTATTTTTATATATTACATTCGATATATCGTAGATTTAGATAAGATATTAAGATTACTCAGACTTTTAAGTATTTTTTAAATTTACATAAATTCAATTAGTTTCTTTCTTCATTAAAATTTTATATATTGAGTTGAGAACTATTTATTATGAAATACTTATTTTAGACTATAGATGTATATAAAATAATTATTTTTTAAATATAATTTAAAAGAGAATTTAAAAACTGCTATTCTAATTAATGGATATTAACAGATAATAAGTGTTAAAAATATAAACACATTTTAAACTTTAGTAATTAAGCATTGTTTTTCAACTTAGATTTAAAAAATTTAATATCTGTAATTTTAAAATAAATTACTCATAGATTTAAAATAAAATTTAAGTTGTTCCATTCACACTATAGGTCAACAAAACCAAATGAATCAGTTGTTGTTGTAGTAACCAGTGGAGATCAATCGAGCAAATAACATGAAAGGAATTACAATTATGTATACATGAGTTAGGATATGGGTAGGTGTGATAGTAGTGCGAGATGAAAAGGAATTGTTTATGAGAAAGACTGGATTGAAGGTAGGTGCGGATTGAATGTGCGTGAGGTTTTAATTAAAGTCAAATTAGAAAATTATATTCACTTCAGTGGGGCCCAAAGAACAAAGATAATCCTTGAGAAATTCTGTTACTTATAAGAATCCAGCCTAATACTAAATTTATTTATGGTATTCACCTATTATATTTCTTTTCACTGTTTCGTATACGCTAGTGACGCGTACTGAAAACGATGATATATGAAGAACGCGTAGAGAACTACAAAAGCAAGGACATAACTACTCAAAAGTTTATGTGTATGCATTCTATTCTACTATATAGGACTCTCCCTTCGTGTTCATAGTCCCAATTCCAATGGACATAATCTGTGTCCATAGTTACTCGAGTTTTACCCTGATTCTGCATTGGTTAGACTTTAGCACTTTCATATGTTCATTAAGACATATGACATACGACTTACAGAAATCTACCCAGTGTAAATATCAAGTTATATATCGAAGTTAGGCTAACTTCTTCCTATGAATTTACAATTGTGGTATATTTAGATATATGCGTGTATATATTTCTATTATTGCTGTCCCTCTCTCCTAAGTGGAGCATAGGGCCGCATATATTTCTATTAAGTCTAACCAAATCTACAGATAGTCACTCTAATTTAGCTGTGCATACATCATATACGATTTTATGTATATATATTACTTATTGCATTCTTTTTATATAATCTACGTGATATCTATAAAATTTCATTCCATAAAATAAAGAAAAACTACAACTTTTAGTGGGTAAAGTGTGGAGTTACATATGTATATAACCGCAAACGATGACCGCAAAAAGTTACATTTCAAAGTTGTATTCTACGCGGGCCTTTAAACTTACACACACATCCACTATAATTTTATTATCGATTTTCTTTTGGAAATGTACAAGCACTCTACAATCGGTTTAGAAGAGGTTATACTAACTGTTCATCATGTTACCATTGCAGCTAAATTTACTTATGTTAATGAAATTAAGATGTGAAATAATTTGTTTATTTACATTTTGCGTATAAAACATATGACAAATATTTCAAATTTTAGTAATTTTTCTTGTTGGAAATTATTTTTTTAAGGGTTATACGGCGTTTACATTGGCCGAAAATGGCTCATTTTGGTCAAAAATCGAAAATGAGTATCGAATGGCTCATTCTTGCATATAAAATTTCAAGCACAAAAATGAGCAATTTTCTCACGTTCTGTATGAATGACGTTCGAATGCATTCCACATACGTTCCAAATGCAAAGGAATCCATTGAACATACCCTAAATGAAAGCTCTTCATGGCATTTTGACAGTTTGAAAAAGCTGTTTTTAACATATTTACGGTAAACCAAACATTTAAGGTAAACAAATGTTTGGTGGTTGCATTTTCTTGAAAACGATGCACTGCTTTTTAGAACTTTTACTTCCCAAAAAGTAATTAATCGAAGTTAAAAATATGTTTTAAGTTTCTAATGTAAGGTTTGAAGGCATATTTAACCTTCATGCAACATTTTTTTGGCACAGGTCAAAAATCAAATTAACATGCAAGTTGAAAAATCAGCTGTTGAAATGAGAACAAATGAAATAGAACGAATGTAAACACTTTCAAATGGCTCATTCAAAATGAGCCATTTTCGGCCAATGTAAACGCCGTATTACATTCGAATTTTTTTGTCTTAAATTAGTTGATTTATTAATAATAAGCTCATTTAAATAAAAGTATGGTAAATAATCATCATTAGCAGCCTTAATGAGCAAAACTGCTTATATGAAACAAGTAGAAACATGATGTTATACAGTTAAAGTGACCCTTTGAGATGAAAGATAAAAAAATTAACTCTAGCGAGGTATAGCTTTATTTTTAATATGTTATACAGACTGTTGAAAAGAGATTCAGAGTCAAAAAAATGAAATAAATAGTTGAAAGGTAGAGTGTTTTAAGTTTGTGAAAACATTTTGAATTCAATATTGAAGACTATCGGAGAGAGTGGCTTATTAGAGTGGCCTTCAATAATATTATTGAAGGATATATTATCCTTCGATAATATAATCTGCATATACTATACCGCAAAAACACTGCTAAACAAGAAATTTTCAAGTATATATCTCTTATAAAATTTTTACTATGGTAATACCTAATTTACCTAATTTTTATCTTATTTACCCTACTCGAAATTCTGGTAAATAATAACATTCACTGCCTTATCGACATAATTTACTATTTACCGCAATTTACTCGAATTCGCACACGGCCTTAATATAAAATTATATCTCGCAATTATGTCTACTAAAGGACGATATAGACGATATTACATGTATGCAAACCAAGTATGCCGTGCTACCAAATTCCACTCTATATATTCAAGTATGCATACCACAATTCGTTCTGTAGACATGTATGGGATAAAATTACACTTTGTTTTAAAGTGTATAGCAAAGCGCATACTTAGTGTTCAAGTTAACACCTTGTATTTGTATAACGGTACTTTGCTTTTACACACAATTATCATATCTTTAGAGTGATAGATATTTGCCAATTTAGTTTCAATCAGGCATGCATATATTTCTTATAGCAACATTGTTGGAAAATGTTTTCTTTGGAAAATTGAAAGCATCTTGCAGAAAACATGTCAAGTATCATTGAAAATACTTGAACAATGAGATGTTCAAATACTATTGGATATTGTTCTCGCCATCTGACTATTGACACCAAAGTTAAAGACACTCACGAGGCGCTTTAGAAAATAGAAACTCCAATCCTAGGATGGAGATAAGAGGCTTCCAGAAAATTCTTATGAATTTTATAAGTTATAATTCGATTAGTTTATCCAATCCTTAAAATCCCAAAAATGACTTTAGTCCTTAGAAGAAAATATCTTTCAAGTCAGAGTAAGAATTAAATAAGTATACTGGTTGGTCGGAATATATACAAAACTAAAATTTTGTGTTATCCTAAATTGTTCTAAGTTTTATATTAATCAAATATGATTTTTTAAGACTTTAACAAAAGAACCCTTTAATTAATTTGCATGAATTAATAAATTCATCTAGCATCGTCTAAATTATGCTTAAGTCAGATATATTGCTTGTATAATTATTGATAGAAAATATATTTATGAATAAAAAAATATATTAATTTATAAATGAAAGATAATTAATTAATTACAAATGATTTTTTTAATATGTATTAAATATTTTATTAAATATTATAGAAAATATAATTATCAGCAGGCAAACACCCTTACATGGCCATTTTGTCCGTCATAACGATGGTAATGTATATATATATAGCACGAGATAAGCAAATTTTTTAAGTTTACGTAGAAACGGCAACATTGTTTGAAATTGCATTCTCTCTCATTTTCATGTTTTCTTTGCTCATTTTCTTGAAAACTACTCTTCCCGAACATAATAAATAAACATGCAATGAGAGAATCAAGCCATTCTGGTTTCAGTTATTGAAATGTTAAGAAGTGAAAAGTGAACTCTTATTGGAGGAAGAAAAATACAGTAGTAAACCGTGCGTTAATGGAATTTATATGCATAAACTGTGAAATAAAACGTGATTAGTTCCAAACTTGTTTCAAAATACAACAGCAAACGTGTTTTCGAATAAATATTTTAGAGACAAAGTGATATCTTTAGATAACTGAATTTATTTAAACTGAGTTCAGTAAGATTTAAACGAAACTTTTAGACAAAATTTGTGCGCGTTAAGATACAAAAAAAAAAAACAAATTTTCTAAGTAAAACTTTGGAATAGAAGTGCCTTTTCTTTAATTTACAAATTAAATTAAAGTAAAAAAAATTTAAAAATAAATATTTTTCGTTACTATTTGAAAAGAAAAAACTCCAAAAACAACAATGGCTTTTATGATGCCTGTTATGAAAAATAACTATGATATTTACAAGGATAAGAGTCGCTCACGTAAAACCTCTGAGGGCTCGAACTCGACGAGTGGTGACCGGCAAGCAATATCTGCTGCCATGGGCATACCGAACCGTGCCAGCCGCTCGCGGAAAGTGTCTGAATGCAAATCTGAAAGTTTTAGCAGTTCACCAAGTCATGCCTACCGCATACAAATGCAACGCTGTCAATCATCCCGTGCATTTCCACGCAATGCCTCGCGGACCTCGCATTCATCAGCATCCGGTGCACTATCACCTACACGTTCCTTCTCTCAAGCCTCCAGTCCACCCAAAACTGCGACAACTGGCAGCCAGAACGATTTAAGTAAATTTCATATACGTTTGGTCGAAAAATTACGTAAGTCGTTCCGCAAGGACAGTGCCAAACGGTCCTGAAAGTACAGCAGATGCAGTAATGCAAACGTAATTCATAAAAGTAATGAGCCAAAAGCAGAAAACACAATAACAAACTCTATACAAAATGGTGTAGAAACCAGAAAGTCATTAACCCCCCAAACACGCAGTGACTTTGCAGCAAATGTTAAATTTTCTACTACTTCTACTACTAGTAAATGCGTTGACGTTGACGTCGACGTCGACGTTGAAGTTGGCGACGCCGGCAGCGATGCTGCACAAGTGCGTACGGTTTGTGCAGCGCTAACCAGTAATGCAGAAATACTCAACCAAGCGGATGAAAATCATAATAATAAAATCTATGATAGTTCTGGCATTACAATAAATGCTATAAGTGCAGCAGCAGCATTTAATCCAACACTTATGGCAACAGATCTGGGACGTCGTTTAACTGCGCCATTAACTTGCGCAAATCTCAAACGCTGCCATAATAAATTTCTTAAAATGAATTTAAATGATGAACAAAAAAACTCTAAAGCACTACTTTTGGGCTCATCATCGACAATAATGGAGCTTGGTGGCGCTAGTTCTGAAGCGACTAGTTTGCATAATGACAACGAAGAACAACAACAACAACAACCTTTAATAAACAAAAGTAAAAACAAAACATTGCGAAAACATATAAAAACAACAAAAAAATCACTTAAAATAACAACAACAAAATTGAATAATTTCGAAACTAGCGACGAAGCAATAATGAACGCAGTCGACGCAAGCAAAAGTAACGATAAAGTGAGTAGCATGAGACGTCGACGTCGAGCGCACAAAAAACGTATGCATTTTTTAAGACGGTCAACTTCGAAATTAAGTTCAAAAAGTGCGCCTGGCTAAGAGCAGCAGCAATGAGACGAAAAAGAAAAAGGAGTAAGAAAATGTATTTGTGCTAAATTCTTTGGAATAACAAAATATAAAAAATGTAAACAAATACAAAGCAACAAAAAAAAAACAAAAAGAATGTAAAACGATTACGTCTCATTTTTGGCTTCCTTTTCCAAAAACAAAAAAAAATAAAAACAAAAACAAATAAGCAAAATGTCGCAATTCTGCTTTGTTTGCTGTGCTCTATTGTGCAATTGCGTTGCTCGACAAAAAATGCTTAGCAAATGAAAATTTTCGCAAGTGTCGTTAAAAACGTTTTTTTTTATATTTTTTCTTATTGTTTCCGTAAATAAAATTATATAAATTGAGCGACAGAAAGCAGAGAAGCAGAAGAATGCATCCATTTCGTCAAAAATTAATGCAATTACGAAGTTCAACAAACGGCCGCAAGGGTAGAACGTAGTTCAGTGCATCATGTGCTTCCTATGTAAATGATCTCTGCAGAATGATTTCATGGTCAAGAAAATTCATCGTCGCAGTAAAGAACAAACAATTCATTTCAATATGACAAAATACGAATTGCAGCAAAACAACAACGACAACACAACAACAACAGAACACTGGCAACGCAATTAGTTGACGTTGCTTCTCGGTGTAGCAGTTTTGGCTTGACGCCTTTCCCCTTTTTGCACCGAATTTTGGCAGCCATCCAACGAATGCTCTGCTGAGCTCCCAAGTTTTAGTTGCAGTGGAAGAAAAAATGCATTCACAAATGTAAGACAAAATAACATATAAACATTTTAATTTAAAAAGGAAATTTATTTTTATATTCATTTTATATATCGTTTATATAATTTATTTATTGAGACCGACCGCTGAAGGTCATTACAATATATTATTCGCTTATATCAATGTTGTACCTTAACAAAATGCAGTGCATAAGTTATTTTACTTTTTTTTTTTTGTAATTCTTATATCGTTTTTAATTTTAAGAGATTAAATATCAATGTAATGTTTATATATCATATTAAAAATTATACATATTCCATTAAAGAAATTCTTTGAAATCAAATATTACAAGACAACGACTTAAAGCTGTGACTATGAGATCTATAATTAATCTATTATAATTATAAAAATTTATTAAAGATATAAATAAAATAAAAAAACACACTGCAATAGAAAAAACAAATAAATTATTTATATTAAAGCTTATGTGAACAATTTAAAATTTAATAAAAATTAATATAAATATAATTTAAAATTATATTTTTATATAAATATAAATTAAAGTTATATTTACATATGAATAAAATGAATATATTATAATATAATATAGTCCAAAATATAATACAAATATAATTTAAAATCACATTTTAATATAAATATAATTTTATATTATATTTTATTATAATGTTATATATAATATTATAATATTATTTTATTATTTATATTATATTACTTTTAACATATACTTTATATGATTATAATATATATGTATTAAATTATATTGTTTTACATGAGCTTTATTTAGTCTATAAAATTAATAAATTTTAGTGAACTTTAAAAAAATATGTAAATCGCTTAAAATTTATTTTAAACTTTATATAACTTTATTACAATAATCTAAAAAATATTTAATAAAATAATTTTTTATATTTAGATTTGGCTTGATTTTATTCTTCTTTTAAATTTCTAAATTTCCAAATGAAAATAAAAAAATAATTTCCAAAATAATTTTTGGGAAAATACTTTTTGAAACTTTTGTCAATAAATGTGTTGTTTTTAATAATTAGTTTTTGTTACAATTAATTATTTTTACAAGACAAACGACATATTTAATATATCAAATTTTATCATAAACTCGATACATATCAATATATTTTTTTTTTAATTTTTTGCATAAAGTATATATTTTTAACAAATTAATTTTAATATATTTTTTTTTTTAATTTTATTTTTAATTTTTCTTTTATTTATTATCTCTTTCATTTAAAATTATTTCTCAATAACACTGATGTTTTAGCACAAAATTTTTTGTATTATTTTTATACATAATATTTTGTTATTTAAAACTTGTTTTATGTAACATTTAATATCTTTTTTCATGTAATATTTACTTTTTTAAATATATTTTGTTAATTTCATTTTTTATTTGGTATATTATTTAACTATTATATGTTTCATATATCTTATTCTTTACTCTTTAACTTTTTTTTAACTTTTACATAAATATATAATTATGTATTAGTTTATGTACTTATATATATATATTTATTTCGTTATTGTATAATTATATATATTATACATTTATTTATTGTACTTTTCATTGGATTAATTTTCTGAATTTATATAGAAAATATATTCTATATTTATATCTATATTTATATTCTTTATTTATTTATAATTTATATAAATAAAAAAATTTTATATACTAATTTTATATATATTGTATTTTATATTTATTGAGCTTTAAATTAATTAAATTTTCTATTAACTATTCTCTTTTAAAAAATTTTTTTTATTATTATTTTTTTTATTATTTTTATTATTATTATTATTTTTATTATTATTATTATTTTTATTATTATTATTATTTTTATTATTAGTATTATTTTTATTATTATTATTATTTTTATTATTATTATTATTTTTATTATAATTTTTATTATAATTTTTATTATTATTTTCATCTTTGTAATTATTTTTTATAAGTTTTATTAACATAATTTATTTGTTATTTTATTCCGTATATTTTTTGATCAATTTTTATTTAAAAAATTTAAAAAATATTTATAATTGATTAAATTTTATTTATATTTTTTTATATTTTTTTATATAATATTGTAGCATTTTCAAAACAGTTTTAGTTTATTTTCAAAAATTTATTGTTAATTGATCATTTGGTTTCACATCTTAAACTTTTTTTTTTTAACTTTTTAAAAATTAATTTAAATAATTAATTACAACAAATAATTACAACACAAAAAAAATTATTGCCACAAAATTGTTTTTTTTTCTTTCTTTCTTAAGTTGCTTTAAGTCACAGTCTAAAAATCTAAGTAATAATGCATAGCAAAATTCAAAAAAAAAAGATTCACATATATGCTATATATATTTGTATATATATATTGTTAGTTACTAATAAAGGCTTCCAAAACAAAAATAAACCAATAATAACTAGAAAAATTTGAACCAATGTTTTGACTGCCAGTTAAGGTTGTTATTGTTATGCATAACCGAAATTTTGAAGTTTTCTTAAATGTAGAATATATGTATATAATGTGAAAATATTTTATATATAAAAACACAACTAGTATTATAATAAAAATTAAGCCTAATTTGTGAATAATATTGTGCCTGTTTTTTTTTTTAGTAAATTATATTGTAAGAAGTGTTTTATTCAAACTGATGCTTGTTGGCATCGATAAGTTAATATAAAATTCATTTTATATATAAAATAATTAAATTTTTTTTGTTATAAGTTTAAAGTTAATAGTTTCAATAATATTTCTCGAAATAAAATATATTTCACACTATAACTAATATATCATAAAATATATAAAAATATTCATACAAAAAAAAAAATAAAAAAAACATTGAAATAATCTGCTAGAGCTCATACTTTTTTTGAATTATAATTAAAATAATGTGATGTTGATCTTTAAATTTAATATTTTCAATTTAGAAATTTAATTTTCCGTTCTTATATTGTTGCTGCTTATATATAAAGTATACATAAAGCATAAAACATATTCATTTACACATATTAAATTTAAGTATATATCATAATATATTAATCTATATATTACTATTAATATTATAAGATAAATATATATTTATATTTTGTTATTGATGTAAGTTTAAAATTGAAAATAAAATATTTTATTTACCTATTAAATTTGAGTTTTATTTAATTTTAAATTTATTTTGATAAATTATTTGAAAAGTTTAACCAATTTTGGGGATTAATATGATCAATAGCTTTTAAAACAGTTGAGTACGTGGTCAGAGTTTTTTCGTTTTTCGTCTCTCTTCACTGTAAACGATTTTTCAACCAGTGAAATTCATCTCGTGTGGCCTTAAGCAAAAATTAATCCAATAATATTATATATAAAAAAGTAGTCTAATGTGTTCAGGGCCTGTCAGATCGTCTTACCAACAGTTGAACGACCTTATGTATATTTCATATAATATATTGTTTTTAAAAACTACAGTACAGTATTAGTTGTTATACTATTAACAGGTTGATTTGTTAATGGTCCTTAGAACTTAGAATTCAAAGATTTGAAAACATTTATTAGTAGTTTGCATATCAGTTAATGATCGTAAGAAAGTTAGGTTTAAATTGATATACTCCACTTAGCAGTCAAGAATTAAAGTAGTAGTAGTAGTAGTAGTAGTAGTAGCATATCACTTTGGGTGAAACTCTTTTGGGATAATGTGTCAAAATTAAACAAAAAAACTTGTACACTAATTAATAAAATAGAAGGAGGTGGTTTTACAAACAGTGACACAATAGATAGTGTATTGACATCGGTCAACAAACTTGTAATTTACCAACAAAAAAATTCATTTTATTGTATACAAAATAAGTGATCTTGAAGTTTAAAATTTCAGTAGAATCCAAAGTTGAATCTATAAAATAAGCAATACCAATTCACAAGAGGTTAAAATATTCATATTGGGGGATATAACACTACTACCTTAAGATTTATTGTGGTCTTAAGATTATGACAGCAGCAAGTTATTAAAACAACAAAACTTACTCAGACAGTTAGCTGTAGATTTGAATACTCAAAAGAACCAAACCAAGGTTGTAACAGTAGCTGGACAGAAGACTTCAAGACTGCTAATAACTAAGCCAAACAAAATGAGTAATATCCGTAAAACAGTCTATGTCACACAATATCATAAATATAAAACTAAACTTTTTGAGAAACGATAAATCTAAGTACATCTAATATATATCTAACATATATAACATATATACACTGTCAAAATAACACAAAGTGCCCAAAAGAATAACGCCTCGTCTCTCAATTTTTTAACTGAGTACTATTGTGTACTAAGCATTTATCACGATAAAAGCATTTTGAGTGATGATATTCAGATATTTAACACCACTTTTTTTGGCCAAGACTCAATTCAGGGACGCTAAAGCTACTCAAACTTGAATTTACTAAAATAAGTCTATAACAATATATGTATTAAGATCAAATGTCAGATTTAATAGTAATTGTTTCTTAAAATATGACAAATTAGTTAAAGATTTACCAGAATTTTAATACTAGGC